TACAATTTCTACTTCACAAAACAGTTATAAAATATTAAAGTATGATGCACCGACAAAGAAAGAAGACTCATTCACCAGTAAAGAGCATCGGTCAAGATAACGAACAATGTAGCATACATGAGTTATCTTTGGTTTCTGTAATAGGTTCGAAAAACCCCAACAAAGCTCCAATTATTTGGTAAAGCTTAAAACCAAAATGGGAATGGAAGAACGAAGTAAAAGGATAAACTTTGGTACCTAAAGCTGGGTTTGCCAGCTGCAAGTCTTCCGCATGCAAGACTACTGTATGTTACCCACTTGTGGAATGGGAGAGAAAGCAAGTGAGAATGAAGGGATTGGGATTCCACTTTATTAGGACCAACCCACTAATCTGATTCTTCCCGACCCGTCCTAACCTAAAGGGTCAGAAAGAGTCAATAAGAAAATACGAACGGAGAGGATTAGTCATATATCTTGACTCTTCAGAAGTGGGTCAAACAGGTTCAAGGTTGGGCGAGGGAAATTTTTAGCGCTAAGCAGAGTTCTGGGTTGAATAACTTAGGCCTAGAAATTGGTGCTGATGCAGACTGCAGTTTTTATTATACCATCATCAATCATCATTAAATTAGTCCTGGGCATTCCTCCCCGTTGTCGGTCTGAATTCTAATGATGGCTTTCGTTCCTTGCACCAGCCATATTAGCGAGTAGTCATCTCGAGCATGATTTGCCTATGTACAAATGATACAATTAGAGTATGAAACTGAATTCAAAGAAAAGGAAAAGAGATTTCTATCACATGCCAATAAATACACACATAATAGTTGAAGTTAAGTGAAAGTCATTACTCGCACATCAATTCTCAAAAATTACAGACTAAACAATGGCTAGAATGACACTGAAACTACCAAGAATCATGGACGAAACAACTTGTCAAATTAAATAATCCTTATACTGAAACTACCTTCTAACTTGAAATAAGACATGATCACAGTTCATAGCTCTCTTCTCACTATGAATTGGTTGCAGCTCGTCTTTAACACTGCCTCCCAAGCTCATTTCAAACAGAATAGAGACCGTTATGTAAGATAACCATATTCTTACTGATCATAATTCCTTTCTTCACTCCATTTTTGTCGGAGAAAAGAGTTACCCCCCTCTCCTGCATTTCCCTTTCCCCCTCTCTTCTCCCTCTTCTTCACAAACCGATCCCTAAACCAGCAACAACAACACAAAAATAGCCTTCGACTCTGCCATCTCCATCTACTGAAAGCGTTGGTGGCAAGACAGGACTGCAGAAGCAAAATTTTCTAAAATCAAACTAAAATTTTTGAAGGAGACTCAACCACGAAAAAAGAGTAAAGCAACAATGCTAATAGTTCATATGGTTGGTTTTGATGTGATAAATTGCTTTTGTTCTGGTCTCCAGTATATCAACTGCAACAGAAATGTTTCCTCCAAACATCTTTAGTGCACGATTTAGAAGCAATTCCTCCTGTTTGTGTCAAACGGAAACATTCATGGGTTCTTAACTCCCCTGTTAGTATAAAAGCAGCAGCAACAGCAAAGAAGTTTGACAACACAGCAAGCACCCAAGGAAAATGATACAATGCAGTAGGTGATATGTGTCTCGAAGGTTTTGAGTTACTAAAGTTCATGTTAAAAATAAACATGAATTAAAATATATTATTCTATTAAGCAAACATCCCCTTTAATCATACAAAGATCAGATATCCAATTCACAAACAATTAAGCCATAAAAAAATCATCACACATCCACCACCTTTGATTGCCTAAATTTGGTTTTTCGCAAAGTTATGGACCCTTAAGGGTAACGTTCATGGGTAGTCTATTTCATAACTCTAGAGAGCACAGTAAGCAGCCACCAGCCAGACACAGTGCGGTAGGCGAATATGATTCTCAATTCACAATTTCTCACCACCGGAAGTAAGAACAGACCATAATAAGCGTCGCGTTCATGGGTGGTCTGTTTCATAGCACTACTACACAATTTGTTAAAAAAGAAAGAAAGGTATTTAGCATCACGACTGAACAACTTTTACAGGCCAACAACGACAACATGCTGCAACCACCAGAACTGGTATCACAACTCATAGGGAAAATCAAAAGATTTACTCTCAAATTAAGCAGTTACAACATCGAGCAATCGTCAAGCACATACACCATCACAAAAGTCACGAAAACTGATTCACAATGCATTCAAACATTTGAGGACATTTCTGCAAAGGTACAACTTATATGTCTTTTTTCCAAGCCATTTCCATCAACATGCTAATAATTTTGCAATGCATAAAACAAACGGGCCAAAACTTGAAATTCAGCCTGTTTGACCGACCCATGCCAAATTCTAATTATTCTTTACTTTTAAACTTTCTATTTGAAAATAAAAAATAGTGAAAGAAAAGAGACGACTACAATTCGCCATTTGCACATCACTTATTCGGGAATAAAACCATAGAAATTCAAAAGGAACTGAAAATATTTAGGATCGTTTTAATGTTTAAAATAACTAAATAGATCTTTTATGTTTAGTTTTTTACTAACAAATACCAAACGACTCCCTATAAAATACACTATAATTTGATCATTATGATATCAAATAATTATAAAATATATATTTGAAATGATAAAAATTAGACTAATTGGGTTGGTCGAGGTTGAACCATGGAATAACTCTAAAATACATTATATTTTAGCCAATAAGATATAGAATAATAGCATAATATATATTATGCCAGAGAAAATAGCTTGTTTTAGAATGACAAACCAATGATGTTCATTTGTTTCACTTGATGGCCAAATCCCATGTAGGTCAGGCCCATTCAACTCTTTAATTTTATGGTTAGCGATTAGCTCATTAGATACCATGCATTCAACTCCTTTTCATATATATTTTATCACAACAGAGAAATAAAAGGGCTTAAAGAAAAAAATTGACACTCCTGGGCCCGTTTAAATTCGCATGTGTACTGTAAGTTGGCCCGTTTGGAAAGAGAAAAAAATTGACACTCCCTATTCTACCTTTCCTACAAACGCTCCTCGAGCAGAGAATTTGAAATGGGGAAAGGGTTTTTTCCTCCCTGCTATTATATGTTTTTAATTTAGAAAGATACAACAAATGTACTTAGTGTGATTGGTTGTGATCTTAGCTTTTCTTTAAAATGGTCATGGTTCGAATCCTAGTACGTGTCTTTTTAATGAATAAAAAAAAGTAATTGTGAAGACTAAAATGTCCTTCCTACTTTCACTCTCGTTGCAGGAAATTTGAAATGGGGCTCCCGTTTTTACCTTCGGCGTATTATATTATGTGTAGATATGGACGGGCATATTTTTAATATGTACGTGAATTAGGAATAGTGTGGAAGTTAGGGCGGGTATCTCGATACCTATATTTGTTCAGTGGCAGGTCGGGTAATTTATTATGGGGTGTCGGTCAGCGCAGGTCAATCGACCTCTATAATTATTTAATTTCAACATAGAACTTTGAAAATATTCATTTTTTCATACAAGAATCAAGAAACAAATTATAACATGATTAATGTTGTTAAATTATTCGTGAGTTTTTCACTTATTCACAACTTTATTAAAGATTAAATATTAGGTAATAAAAGTAAAACCCTAAGTAATTTGATTAAAATTACATGTAATTTAAGCAATAACGGGTCAAAATAGGGCAGGTCAGGTCGAGGACATTATCCATGCTTGCCCCGACTCATCCACTACCCATAAACAGGTCGGGTAAAATGAGTTAGGGCAAAATTATCATCCCTAACCTGAAGTGTAATAAAAATTATACATCTCAATGGTAATTCATGTATCAAAACATATTTTTAACTAACTATGCCTTTTAGCATGGGAAAATAGTAAAACTAAAAAAATAAGAAATTATAATGATTAAAAATCATGAATAAGACCCCCAACAAATCTACAATATAGTGACTAAGTTGTAATATAATTAAATTTGGGTATCAAAATGGAGTTTTTTATGCGACAATAATTAAACTAATTAAATTGGGGTATCAAAATATAAAATGTACAATATAGTGACTAAGTTGTAATTTAATTCAATTCGGATATCAAAATATTTTTTTTTATGCAATAGTAACTAAACTTCAGGTTTATATATATTGACTAGAAAAGCGTCCGCATGATGCTGCGGGTGCAGGAGACCACGATAACATTTGTATTAACTATTCAATTTTATATTTACATTATCTAGATTAATTTTTTTCTTTTAAGTGTATTATTGAGTGAAGCCGATCATTATTTGTAGGAATACGGTATAAGAAAAAAAAAATTCGTTATTTATAGTTAGAGCAAAATAATTAAAATTAAATATAATTTATTAGTCAGAATTTTAAATATTTTAGTCAAAGATTTCAAAATAAATTTTATTAGCCAACCGTTAACTCTTGTTCGCACTTCTATTTGTAATGGTTACTTTGAAACATGATGTTGAGTTGGAATAGACTACGATCAATATTTCAAAATTTTAGTATTTAATTAAGAAAAAAATTTAAAGTAGATATTTTTTTTCGTCTCTAAATTTTTATTACATCATTAGAAATTTGACTAATATTTAGTATTTTAATTTAATTCAACTTAATATACTAACATAATTACGTGATGGGTTGGAGTAGTTGCTACTGGTGAAACCGGCTGTCTCACCTTATAAGGATATAAAATAAACATTTTAATTTCTCTATTAGTGGTTAGGAAGCTCCTGATGTTGAACTCCACTACTCGACACTACTCTTTAGTTTTTAGCTCTCATTAGTTGTAAATTGGGTATTAAACCCACACTCCTACTCACTGTAAATCATGTCATTAATCTCTCACATGGTATCAGAGTTGCGCTTTGATCTCCTTAATCCTTTCCTCTTTGCTTAATTTTCCCAGACTCCAATCTCTTCTCCTCTCTTTCTTCTTCCGCTGCTGCCAAAAACTTAGCAGCAAAAATTGTTCTACCCGACATGCAAAATTGCTCACTCTTCTACGCGATCTCGCCCTTCTTGGCTTCATTGAAGGCACTCATCCTTAGCCGGCTTCCGATGCTCCAGTCGCTATTCGCACACGCTGGTCCAGGCAAGACCAACTACTTCTTCACACAATTTTGGCTCATGTCTCACCTGCTGTTGCTCATTATGTTACCGCTGCCAAATCCACTCACGAAGCCTGGACTATACTCGAACGCATGTACGCTAGCCAGTCCCGGCAGCGGGTTATGAATCTCAAACAGAAGCGATGCACATGACCGCCACTGAGCTTGCTCTAGTCCAAGTTCCGGTCGCCTATGAAGATTTGATTCTTCATATTCTCTGCGGTCTTCGAGAAGAATATGACACTCTCTCTACCGCCATCCGTGCTCGTGACACTACTATCACTCTTGAAGATCTCCATGATCGTCTGGTCGATTATGAGACTGAGCTTGCAACCGTTCGTCATTGCCCTTCCTCGGCTCCAACTACATCCTTCTCCACTAGTCGCGGTCGCTCTTCTCCTCCTGCTCGAGGCCACGACAGTCCTCGTCGACAACAAATGATTGGTCCTTCCTTTTATTATGATCCCACTCGGCATGGTCACTCCCTATCTCGTGGTCCTCCTGTCTCGGCAGCTCTCCCCTCATCTCCCTCTCTCCTTGGCCGCCTACAACTCCTCTGCCAGTTCTGAGATAAGCTGGCTCACACCGCCAGGGAATGCTACCATATTCGCGGCCGACCTCAAGCACATCACACCGCCATCGCCATCTATTCTTCTCCAACCAGGCTTGTTGACTCCCGGCCTCTGCGGTCTCTCTCTTTATACAGATTATCATGGTCCCGGTGAGGTTCTAGTCGGCGACGGGTAAAGTCTAACGATTTCTCACACTGGCGACTCTCATATCTCTACTTCTTCAACTTGTTTATCTTTCCGTGATGTGCTTTGTGTTCCGACTATCAAACGTCACTTGTTATCTGTTTCCTAGTTATGTAAATCTAACCAGGTTTCGGTGGAATTTTTTTCTGATTGTTTTGTTGTGAAGGACCTAGCCACGGGGGAGCCTCTACTACGCGGCCAGAATAAGGATGACGTGTATGAGCTGCCTATGGATGTCTACCTAGTCCGTCTCGCCATGACCACCACCAAAACTCCCTCTACCACTTGGCATAATCGCCTGGGCCATTCCAATCACCGGCTGCTTGCTTGTTTGCTTCGTAACAATTCTCTTCATGTCTCTTCCATTTCACTATTTCATTCTTGTGCAGCTTGTGCCCTCAATAAGAGTCATAAACATCCCTTTTTAGTTTCTAGTTCGACTAGTACTCGACCTTTCGATTTGATATATATGGATGTTTGGGGGTCCTTCTCCGGTTCTTTCTATCGAATCTTTTTCAAATTACTTGGTGATTGTTAATCATTTTAAGGGTTACACATGGATCTATCCTTTGTCTCGCAAATCTAATGTTTTCCATGTCTTTACTACCTTCACCAAAATGATTATCGATTACTTTCATACATTTATTCGTCGTGTGTTTAGTAATGGAGTGGGTGAGTTCCAAAAATTATGTTCTTTTCTTCAATCCACCAGCATTACTCATCTGCTCACCCCATCGCACACCCCCCAACATAACGACTTGGCAAAACGAAAACATTGCCACATCGTGGAGACTGGTCTTGCTCTTTTGCATACAGCTAATCTCCCACTCACTTTTCGGTCCCATGCTTTCCAAACCGCTACCTATCTCATAAATCGCCTCCCCTCTTCCTCTCTACATGGTGCCACCCCTTACTTCTCTCCTTTTAATGAACCCGCCAATTACCTTAAACTGCGCACCTTTGCCTGCCTTTGTTACCCTTGGTTACGTCCCTATTCACCACATAAACTAGCTCCTCACTCACCCAAAGTGCCTACAAATGCTATGACCCCGCTACCGATCTCTTGTTAATCTCCTGTCATGTCCAGTTCGACGAGCATTCTTTTCTGGTATGCTTATCTCACCACCGCCCTCTTACTCCTCCCCTGATTGGCTCGCCATTTCCACTCCCCCCATCTACCAATATCCAGTCCCGTACCCCCCTTCTGGAACTAACCCGCCCTTCTACTCCTCCACGGCAGTCACCTCTTTCACCACGTCCATCCACTACCGCCGACGTCTCTGCTTACCCTCCGGCTACGTCCTCATAGCAAGATTGTCCTCCTCCACCTCTGGGAAAGATAGCTCCGCTTTGGTCTCATACGATGGCTCTGTTGATCGTTTTAAGTCCCTTTTGGTTGCTAATGGATCCACACAACGTCTTGGTCTTGACTATCATGATATGTACAGTCCAGTGCTCAAGCTCGTCACTATACAGACTGTGTTCTTTATTTCTCTTTCTCATGCATGGCCTATTCATTAGTTTTATATCAATAATGCATTTCTGCAAGGCTCTCTACAGGAAACCATCTACATGTCTCAGCCACCTGATTCCATGATCCTTCTCATCCGCTATATGGTCTCTGTCAAGCTCCATGTTCATGGTACATGGAATTATCTGCCTTCCTTCACCAAGAGGGTTTCGTCCACACCACCTTCGACACCTCTCTCTTTGTCTATCAAAAGAATGGCACCTTCTATACTTCTTGGTCTATGTTGATGACTTGTTACTCACCGGCAATGACTCCTGCTTGCTCGCTGACTTCCAGGCTTGCCTCGTCGCACGCTTCTCCTTCAAGCATCTTGGTCTGTCAATTATTTCCTCGGTAGGTGGTTTTGTGCTCTCTCAACATAAGTTGATTGCTGACATTCTTCACAGGATTGACATGCTAGATTCCCAACCAGCTCCAACGCCGCTAAGCTCCATCGCCGCTCTCTGCCTCCACGACGGCTCACCCCCTGTTGATGCTACTAAGTTGAAACAGACGCTCGAGTCCCTCTAGTACTTGCTACATACATTGTTTTTACGGTGAACAAGCTTTCCCAGTTCATGCATTCCCCATCTCATTCGAATTGGCAGCCAGTCAAGCGCTTGCTCCGTTATCTCAAGGGCACCATGCATCATGTTCTTTGTCTTGCTCCTATTTCTACATCGTCTCTTGTTTCCTTTGCTGACTCTGACTGGGTCGGCGACCCTGAAGATCGTACCTCCACCATGGGCTATCTTCTCTACTACGGCGACAACCTCATCTCTTGGAAGTCCAACAAACAATGCTATGTTGCTCATTCCAGCACTGAAGCAGAGTACCGAGTGGTGGCACATGCCATGACCGACCTGTTATGGGTTCAAAACCTTCTTACTGAGCTTCATCAACCACTCCCACAGCCGCCTATTCTCTACAGTGACAACCTCGGCGCGGTTAACTTCTCGGCCAACCTTGTCTTCCAATCCCAAATGAAGCACCTCGCCCTCGATTTTCATTTCGTCCGCGAGCTTGTCCACGCTGCCACTCTACATGTCCGACGCCTCCCTACTACTCATTAGCTGGCGGACTCCCTTATCAAACCGCTACCTATCACTCATTTCCAGCTACTACGGTCCAAGATTGGAGTCGCACCCACCTCGATCTTGCGGGGGCGTGATAAGGATGTAAAATAAACATGTTATTTTTCTCTATTAGTGGTTAGGAAGCTCCTGATTTTTAGCTCCACCACTCGACACTAGTTTAGTTTTAGCTCTCATTAGTTGTAAATTGGGTATTAAATTTAAATCCACACTCATACACAATGTAAATTACGTCATTAATCCCTCACATTGCCTCCCACGTTCCTTTTTCTCTACCTCCAAATAGGTTGTCAACCCTCGGGTCGACCTTTGGTTGGCAAAATGCACCTATTTTTCGATTTTTCTTTCCGCTTAACTCAATTTTTAAAAATCTGAGTTGAACATTTGAATATTTTTGTTATATAAGTGCGTAAATTTTAACTCTATGTTGGATCCAAGTATAACATGTTATTTTGGCGTAATGTTATATATTATTAATAATATGTTAGATGAAATTTTATATAATTTATGGCTAAATTACACTTTTGGTCACTCAAATTATATAAATCTTTCACGTTTGCCACTCAAATTACTTTTCTTTCATATTACCACTAACTTTAAAATTCGTTTCACCATTAGTCACAAACCGTTAGCCTCCGTCAGATTCCGTTAACACTTAAGATTTTTTATGACGTGGCAAACAAAAGTTCTTACTGGACTGACAGAAAGGCTGAGTCATGCAATTTGACTGCCTAATCAGCAATAATACAGTAAAACAAAACTATAAAAAAAATACCCAACCCAATTGTCGAAAACCAGTTTAAATTTTCTTATCCTATATCTCGATCTTTGCCTTGCTTCTTCTACCTTCCGCCGACAAACACGACCATGGAGAGACAAGAGGGCTCGACGGCTGTATCAACCGGTCGGCCCTCCTCCGTTCTCTCTCGCCCTCTCTCTCTCTCTCTCTCTCTCTCTCTCTCGGGTCGGTAACCGCACTATGATTCAAAGGCGTATGTGGGTTATGGATGTTTGCCATCGGAGACAGAGAGGTAGGAATCACCAAGGCTCGATCCCTTCCAAGCCTCCACCGCTCCAAACAAAACACCATCCTCCACCGGTGTCCGTTGCTTTATCCTCTAAAAATAAGATGTTATTCCCTCTTACTCCAACCTAATAGTAATACTCATCTGTCAACCCACACCATTTTCGACCACCTTCAACCACCATTTATGCCACCAGGAATGGCGAGAAGAAACAGAGATGAAGAATGAAGGAAGTAGGTAGGAATCAAAAAATGAAACTAATTAATTAGCCCTTCTCTCCCCTTTGTTTATATCTCTACAAAAAACACATTTTAGCACTAATTAAACTCCACAAGGGCGACACATCTGGAGTCAATCACAGTGAAGTTGATAGATCGACAGATTTGGAGACGATTGGCGACTCTTCGATTCCTTGACATCTATGCCGGAAGATCTTAGGACGCTCGGCAGATTAAGACTAGCATGTTTCTTTTCCTCTTCTTTTGCTGCATTTAAGGAAGAGGGTCATAGAACGACGACGTCGGGGGCAAAGGCCTGCAGGCAGAAGACGGTCAAGGTAGGTTGAAGAAGGGAAAGGTGGGGTCCCAGATTTTTGTCTAATTATTTTTTTCGATTTTTAATTTTGTTACATTGACATGTCATTAAGTTAACGGTCTAGTCAACATTTTCGTTTGCCACGTCATCAAAATATGATGGCGTTAATTCAGTCTGACGGAGACTAACTGTCAGTGGCTAATGGTGAAACGAAATGTAAAGTTAGTGACTAATATGAAAGAAAAGTAATTTCGGTGGAAAACGTGAAAGATTTATGTAATTTGAGTGAGCAAACGTGTAATTTAGCCTATAATTTATAAATTCATGAACAATATAATGGCTTTCTTAATATATTATATCTAAACCAGACTAAAAAGGCCGGACCATTAACCCTCGACCTACTTGCTCCACCGAGCCAACGAGTTAAACCAGGTTGACAACCTTGCATCCAACTATTACCTCCTTCCTAAAATAATTAAACTTGCCTTCTATTTTATTTTATTTGAAGAGTGAAATTGATAGAAAAGATATTACGGTATTATGGGCTATTGATTTCTTGTCCATCTGAATATTGATCATAGGCGCAAGGACAACCAGATTAAAGCATCTTAGGAGCCCATGTCTTAAGTCCAATCAAATAGAATACTTAATGCCCAGCCTACCTATAGAATACTTACTTGCTTACTTACTTACTTACTTACTTACTTACAGGTTCGGATAGCTTGCTAATCCCATAAGGGGTTGGAAAATGACATCCCTTAGTATTAAATGCAACTTATATAATTTAACATAATATAAAATACACATAGAGAATTAAATACACCATATTAATTACTTACTTTTTTAATTTAAACCTACACTAAATACAATTCTCTCTCCTTATTTCTGATTCTTCCTTTTCCGGCAGCCTCCGACCACCAGGCTTCCTTCAACCGCCACACTTCTCTGGTAAAATCCAACCTGCAGACTCTCTTTGACCACAAGCAAAAATGTACCAATACATTAAAGAAATGTACACGTGCAATGATACGTCGTACCACTGCACTGATATTTGTACCACAACATTTAAACTAAGATATGATATTTGTCCCAGTGCACTGGTAGCAAATATCATATCTTAGTTTAAGTGTAGTGGTACAAATATTAGTGCAGTGGTACAAAAATGATAACTGGAAATCGAAAAGCCAGATCGAGAAATTGATACTTGCACGGAGAGGAGATGGGGAGAGGAAACGGCGACATCAGGATGAGATGGGGGGGGGGGGGAGAGATTTTTTTT